TACTCTAACAAAAAAAAAATCTGTTGAAATCAATCAAAAAAACAAAAAAAGTTATTCGAAATCGACAAAAAAACTAAAAAAATCCTTCGAAATCAAGCAAAAAACTTTAAAATTCCCTCGAAAACATTGTAATTAGGTTAAAAATACATCGAAGGATTTTGCGGGTTTTTAGTCTACCTTAAAGGTGACGCCACTGAACAAAAATCCTGAATCCGCCACTGAACCCGTCCAACCTGTACGAGTTGGGTTGGATTGAGTTGAGTCGGGTTAAAAAATTTCAAACCGTAAACATTGAATTGAGTTGTTCAAATGTTTTCAATCCAACCAACTCAACCCATATACATCCCTAATCATCTTGACGAAATACTTTTGCATGCATTAAAAATGATCTGAATCAAATCTCTTGTGTCTTAATTATGTTCTGAACCTGAAGATGATAGCGACTGTAAATGATGGTGAGGGTGAGATGGTAATCAGTGCCAACTGAGTTGAATTCTTGTTCAGACATGAAAAAACATTCACATGTCTCTTATATATATATAGGGAATGGTTCAAACGAGAACCCCTGTGATTTACGAGAACGCAAGAACAACCCAATAACCTCATATTGTGATAAAAAATAAAATTAAAAGATTTTTAAAATTAAAATTAAAATTTAAAAAGATTCAAAAAAATTTAAAATTAAAAGGGTAATAATGGAAATGATATCATCAAATCTTTTAAACACGATCATTATCTTTTAAACACTCATTATTATCATTATATAGTAAAACGGTTACGAAATAGGTTAGGATTATACTAGGTGTGATAATCATGTGATATAGGTGTGATAATCATGTGATAGAGGTGTGATAATCACCATTATACATCACTTGGGTTATCGTTTTGGTTAATAAGTTAAAATTTTGGTGTAATCATGTGATAGGGGTGTGATAATCATGTGATATGAGTGTGATAGGGGTGTGATAATCACCATTATACATCACTTGGGTTAACGTTTTGGTTGATAAGTTAAAATTTTGGTGTCATCATGTGATTTGGGTGTGATAATCATGTGATAAGGGTGTGATAATCACTGTTATACATCACTTGGGTTATCGTTTTGGTTGACAAGTTAAAATTTTGGTGTAATCATATAATATGGGTGTGATAATCATATGATATGAGTCTGATACTTATGTGATAGAGGTGTGATATGAAGAAAAGATGTTAACGAGAAGAAGAAGATAACTACCAAGAGTAAAACGTGGAACGTGAAAAGATAATTATGGTTAATTAAAATAAAATATAAATTATAAAAATTACTTAATTACATTATTGTCCTTATTAAATTATTTATATATAATAAAAGTTAATTTATTAATTAAAAAAGTTTGAGGTTACTGGGTTGTTCTCGCATTTCGTAAATCACAGGGGTTCTCGTTTGAACCTCCACCTATATATATATATATATATATATATATAATTTATTTTAATATTTATATAAGAATATAAAATAATATTTATTTTAATTTCTCTTATGAACATAGTTCTGGAAACCCATCTCATCCTTATTCATAAAAAAATGAATACATTTTATCATATATAATCATTTATGTAAAAATACAATATGAGTTTTTAAATTAATTTTATAATTTTGTTCTTTATTTTGTAAATGTGGGTTTTCAAACCAGTTTAGAAGTTTATGTGCACTGATTAATCCTTCAGACGACCATAAATAGCTTGGAGTCATTGCATTAAACCTCCATAACTATAACCTTTGACAACACTTGAATTCGAACCCGTTGTAGATAAGAAGATTTCCCTCTACATCACTACGAGGGTTAAGTGGTGCGACACAACCCAACTCAGGCGGATGTAGTGGAAATCTCATCTTTCTTTTGATTCGAATCATGGCGTTGTTAAAGCCCTTGTAGCCATAGAACTTTACCTACGATGACTCTAGGGTTCAGGCCATCTACGATAACTCGGAGAGTTTAGGGACCGTTTATCAAACACTTACCTAGGTAAGCACTTGCCAAGTCACATTATCTTACCAGATACATATGGTAAGGACTGAGATTCTTACCCGGTAAGAGCGAGACAAGGACCATGAGTCTTACCCGGTAAATGAGGACGACGACTCTTACCACGGTAAACGGGTGAATTGTTGTACACAATGTCGTTTTGATAGATTAAAATCTTACCCGGTAAGTAAATAATAGTGTTAAATTTTACCGGTAGGCATTTACCGGGTAAGTGTTTGGTAAACGGCCCCTTAGTCAGTACGCGCAAGATGACCTGGATGACGATGTTTACCAAGAAAAAATATTTATTTTTTCAAAATATTCAAAATAAAAATATTTAATTTAAAAGAATTATCCCTTTTTTTTAAGATTCTAATATTGATTTACACATCTTTCTAACAAGATATATATTCTGTTTGTAATTATGATATCCAATATCTTTAGGATAATGTTATATGTTTCAAATCATGTGGTACCAGCTTGTTTTCGTGAAATCCGTGCGACCATTTTTTTACACTTGAAACTTCACAGCAAAACACTGTGAAGGTAACATTCATATTGTTTTTGCTGTGAAAGTTCGGCATTTTTACCTTCGCAGCGTTTTATTGTGAATTTCAAGTGTAAAAAAGTGATATCAAGGATATCACGAAAATAGACTGGTCTCACGTAAACACAACCCTAATGTTATATGTATTTATTTTTATGTCAAAATCAGGTTAAATTATACATTAAAAATGTAAAAAGTAAATCTTTATATTAATGTGTATGAAAAAGAAACTAATAAGTAGGGGCGCATTTAACCCGCCCCGATTTTTTTAATCAAATTATACAAAACCCACGTATAGACCGGAACATTTCGTCCATTAAAACGTAAAGTCTTAAACCAAAGTTCAAAATTGGGGTAAAAATTAATAAAGACCAGTAAAACCGGATAATTAAACCGAAACAGAAACAATTATATTCAGTTCATTCATAGCTTTGCTCTGAAAACTAGTTTCCGATATCTTTTGGTCTCGATCAAGTTCCGATCGAACCAGGTCTTTTCGATCTAGTTCGAACTCAAACTCCGGTTTTATGTAGGAGTGTAAATTATACGAGATAACTCACGAGCTACTCGAGATTGACAAGGCCAAATCTTGATTCAAATAGGCTCGGCTCGGTATATTAACGAGTCGAGTCGAGCTACCAAGTACTCGATTAAAAAAAACTCGTAATCTTACGAGTTTTTTTTATATATAATTAGTTTTAAAATATAATCGGTTTTATAATATAATTAATAAAATATAATATAATAAAAATGTCTTATATTTTTAGATATTTAAACTTTTAAACCGTAACTAATCAATTATCTTTTTACTAAAATCATAATTTAAAAAAAAAATAAAAAAAAAACTACAAAAATGTCGAGAAATTGTTGCATATTGGAAGAGAGATTATAAACAGTAGAAAAGTGAATGGAGCTTCTAACTTTGTCTTTTGACGAGGAAGTTTGAGGTGCGTCTCTTTAGTTTATAAAGTTTAAGAGAACACCTTTATATTTTATGATTCATATGAAGGCCATAAAATTTCATAAATTTCAACGGGTGAATTTGGTTCGAGTTTGATTCGAGTTCGAGATTGGTTTTAAAAATTGTAATCGAGTTCGATTCAAGTTTAGTTCTCAACTACTCATGAGTTTTCGAGTCGAATTCGAACTTGAAAAATAACTGTGAAATTTGAATCGGGTATATATTTGAGCTCGACTGACATTAGAGGTGTACAAAAAATTGTCAACCCGTAAAATCCGCCCAACCCAACCTGCTAACAACTCAATTAAACTCAACCTGCCAAACTATCAAACCGTTCACCCATCAATTAAGAGGGTTGAAATTTGGTTGGGCCTAGCTCAACTCACCCAACCCGTCGTGAATATATAATTTTTATACAATTATGTATATATATATGTTTGTTATGTATATAATATATATTAATAGTGTATAAATTTTATATAATTTTTATAGATATTATGTTTGTATTTCATTTTAGCTAAATCGTACAGGTTATAAAAAAAATTCAATCAAATAATGATGACAGATAATCTAATTAATAAGAGAAAAATATTGAAATCTTTTTTTGCAGCAACAATAAAATATGTCAAGAATATAAATGATATTGATAGATATTTGGTTGACAAATCAATCAATCTAAATATCTCGTCATTTTATGTTGTACTTTAGCGGAAAGAAAATGCTTAGTTATAGCAATTTACTACAAGAACATTAGATATTATAGGATACTTAAAATGTCTAAGCGTCCTAATATGATATTTTATAAGACAAAACAAGAAAAACGTTCTAAAAAAGCTACAATATGTTTATGGAATGATTTTGGGCGTCTTAATAAATTATACGACGCTTTTAATATAAAGTGTTGTATTAGTTATTTTATACGACACAACTTGAAAAAGTGTTATATGAACATAAGTGTCTTATAAATCGATGAGTTTATGAGACATTTCTCAAAATGTTTCTATAAAATAATTAATATGACATTTTATTTAATAATCATTTTAAAAAACTTGTTGAAACGTTCAAAAACGTCTTATAAAGTATAAACCTATTATAACCTTTTTAGATAAGATCCTTTATAGTATGGTCTATAAACTTAAGTTTTATGGATTATTTCATTCGACAAATTTATGTAACTGCTAACCCGTCAACCCAACCCAACCCGCCTCAACCCGCAAGAGTTGGGTTATACTTTTGAATGAATTGGGTTGAATTGAGATTTTTCCAAACCATCATAGTTAAATTGAGTTGTAAAAATGTTACAAACCGTCCAACCCAACCCGGATACAACCCAAACAATATCATTTACACGCGGGGTTTGAATCATGAATGCTAATTGCAGAAAAGAAAAGACGAGGCGAAGCACGTGACCCATGCACATGGCCTCGAGAAGAAACAAAGCTGAACAAAAAAAGCTTCAAATAAACCTCTCCAGTCTCCACTACCTTCTCTTACATCTCATCAATGGCGATGGTAGGTATCCACCATTTCTGACATAGATTCACTCACCTTTCAAGCTCAATCACACCACCACCACCACCTGCTGCTGCTATTTTGCTGAAAAAAACAAGCTAAAAAATGGCGTAGTAGATTCGAATGGGCGGGACTTCAAATGATTCATCTTCTTCTTCGTCTTCTATGTCGCCTCTTTCATCTCCTTCTTCGATCGTCTATGTCGATTTGTACGGGAAACGACGTCAAATTGCTAAAGTTCAGGTGCTCGAGAGAGAGATTGGATTGATTCAGGTATTGATCTTGTTCATATGCTTGATTTAGTATCGATTTTGGACCATATTTGATGGAAATGGTGGTTATATTCGATTATCGTATTGTTCGTAACGGTTGGAAATTGGAAATTAGGGTTAACTGGTTGAAAATGTGCAACTCGATTCGACATTTTACCCCCAATTCGCTAGGGTTGAATGTTTTTTGGTGGTATATCGGTTTATGATTTCATGAAAACCACATATTTAGGTTTAATATCCATAGATTACTTAGTTTTGCAGCTGGTTTAAGGAATTTGATGAATACTGCTCACCATGCTTGCATTTTTAGGTACGAAACTGGAGGTCTTTGTATTTAACCAAACAACTTCTTGGTTAGCAGTTTAATAAGTTTAATAGACTCATAGCTTATACTATTGATTATACCTGTTTGATAATGGCTTAGGAGGTGTTTGGGATTGTTTATTTTAGGTGTTTTTTTTACTTATTCTAGTCTGACATCAGTGATAAAGCTAAATGTTATAAATGCTAATGTTTAGATGAGGAAAAATAAAACTGCTTATATCAGTATCAAACCAGTAATAAGCAGTTTTTGATAAGTTAATCCTTCCTGACTTATGGAAAAACTGTTTATTACCAGTTTACTATTTTAACCATGTTTTATTAATATTTGTTAATTATTAATCTTATTGATATAAATTTTTGTCAAAAATATTATTATAAATGTTGGAAAATATATTTTTACATGTTAAAAAATCAAATAAGTTAATAAGCAATCACAAACACTCCCATAATTCAATAATACGGAAGATTGTCTTTTTTGGTTCTTTTACATATATAAGCAAAATTTGTCAAATACAAAAAAACAACTTATCAGCTTATTGTTTTTTGGTACCGTTATAAGCTAATCCAAACACTTTTTACAAAACTCCGATTTGATACCACATAAGTTAATAAACACTTTTACAAAAAAAACATAAGTTGTTTTAAATAAGCAATCCCAAACACCCCCAAGTTTTTATGGGACTGCAGAAACCCAAGTTTCTTTTCAAACATGCTCCTCTCGATTAAAAACCACGTTAATTCCAAACCTTCTTGATCTATAAAGGCTCCATAATTTGAACAAATTCATAAACCGGTTTATAATATGTGAAAATACAGTGTTTATACAAAGTTGTTTCATATATGAAACGTCCAAAACTGTTTTATTCACACACAAGAGTCCAAACTTGATTAGACCCTTTTTCAACCCTAAAGCCCGGTCCAGCTTGAGGAAAGAAGGCTTTGCCTTTTTCTTGTCACTAAAAACGGGCTTAAAAGGCCCGTCACTTGGTGCATCTTTCGTTAAATTGCATGTTTTTTCTACTTGAAACATGATCTTAGGGGGATTTTTTCATTTTTATAAGTAGGTGAGAGAAGGTGAAAGTACCGAAATATTGTGTTTAATGTTACATTATACTGTGTGAAGGTTGTAACCTTCATATGACCATCAAATGTGTATTGAAACGATATACTGTATTTGCGTGAAGGTGGTAACCTTCACAAAATATAAGCGTTCCTTCACACAGTGTAAATGCATTTTCACCTGTTTTCACGTTCGCACGAAAATGGGTTATTCTCGGTTCTCACTTCTCACCGAAACCCAACTTTTTTCTACTGATGGGAATTTTGTTAACATTGTTGGTTAACAGGAAGAGATAAAATCACTTGGAGAGGTAGAACTTGCATCAAGATGCTGCAAAGAGTATGCAAATCTTCACTCTTTTAATCAATTACTTATGAAGTGTTTGGTTCAAGCAGGGAAATGAAAATGAAAATGACAGAGAATTAAAATGGAAGTAAATTTTCATTCCCCTAATTTAACCGAAATAAAAATTTGGGCATATAAGGGAACAGGCTCATTGTATTATATAAAATCAAACAGTTTCTTTTATTTTCATTTTCATTAGTTACTGCTTAATATTCTAACCATACACCTCCTTATACATGATCATGCCGAATTAATATACTTTGCTTTGTTCAAACTCGTGTTGATGGGAAAACGTACAGAATTGATGAATATGTAGAGGTGACGCCGGATCCGCTAATAGCACTGTAAGATTTCTTCACCCATAACCCTTGAGTTGGAATCTTGTGAGAACACTTTTGAGTTTTTTGATGAGTTTTTTTTTATCTAACGACTCGCAAGAAATATGGACCTTTATTTGATGGCTTGCAAAAAACCTATGAACCTTCATCCACCTTCACGAACTTTTACGTTCGTTTACACCTCAAATTGTTACAGTTTCAGTCATGGTAATAAAAATAGGAAGGGGAAAAGTTTTCAATATGGAATGATTAAGTTTCTAAACTTTTTTTTGAATAAATAAATAACTAAATTTTTCCATTTTGAATGATCAAGTCCTTGAACATTTCTTTTTCTTATTATAAAACCAGTAACTTTTTTAAGTTAAAACAATGTAGTAAACCAATTTCTAAAAGCTTGATAGTTTATTTATTGAAAAGAATTCATTCATTCATTCAAAAAGGAAAGTTTAATTATTTATTCATTCCAAAAAAAATAGTTTAGAACATCTTCAACAAATTCTACAAAGAAAATTTATATTCCATCTTCAATAACTTCTCCTTTTTTCGGAGATTTACAATATTTTAATTATATTGTTAAAGTATTCAAATATCTTACATAAAATATTATTTTTATCCCCTTTTAATAGATAATTATTTTTCAAGAGTTCTCCACATTCGGAGAAATGGAGAATTTTATTGTTTTTTACTCTCCTATTTTATCTAGTTTGAATATTTTAGATATAAAAAAAAGATGAATTTTAGATTTAAAAAAAAAATCTATGTCACTAATCACGTCAGCAAATAATATTGAGTTGGATACCATATCGCTCGCCACATCAATATAATAACCGTTTAATGCTTTAACCGGTTACTCGGATACTTAAAATGAAAGTTTTAGAAGTATGTTACCCAAAATGAGAATCAAGTTAACGTACGTTACTTTTTCATGCAATTTGCCCTACGGAATAAGGTTTACCCAAAATATAAATCAAGTTAAAGTACGTTACTTTTTCATGTAATTTGCCCTTTGGAATAAGGTTTTGGAAATCTATTGGAGAAATATTCCAACATCTTCATTTTGTATAATCTGTTGGAGATGGTATTAAACTAGGATTTAATCATCTAAAATGGAAAAGTTTAATTGGAATATCCTGAACTTTTCCCAATAGGTGAACGAAGGTGTGAAAATGCAGGTGGATGAAGGTCTGTGTTTTAAAAAAAAAAAAGTGTTCTCACGTGTTCTCGACCAATGAAACTTGATGTTAATAGTACGTTGACGCATTTTTTCATCCACGTCTTCAAGCAGAAATCAGATTCGTAATCGATCCAGAAACTTCTGGAAGAATCTTCGGTAAAAATTATGTTGGATCTTTCATTGATTGCTTAGATTTGATTCAAACAAGCTCCCTTTTATCCTAAATCTTCTGTTTGAAAAATGTTATAAAAGCAGGAGAAAGATTGGTTCTATGTTGTGTTGTTGTGGTTGTTGCAAGACAACAACAATCTGTTGTTCATGCCGCTCGGCGGCAGACGGTGGATGTTGTTGCTGCTCGGGTCACCAAGAGAAAACACGTACCCCGGAACGTTGCAATTGTCCCAGGATTTCATGCCACTGCAGTTGCAAACCGTCATGTCCAAAATGTTCGGTTTGTTGTTGTAAACCATGCTCATGCTTTTAAGTGTATGATGAATGTATCGATAGCACCCAGATACATGTAATGGGTTATTATGAGTAGGGGTTTGAACGATTCCAGTTTGTAACTAGCTACTCGAGGTCGAGCTCAAGTCGTTCTCGAACACAAAACAAGACTCGTTTAAATTTACAAGCCGAGCCTCCTAACACCAATGTTCGACTCGGCTCATTCGAAAACACAATTAAAATTTTCAAGTCGAGTCGAGCAATTCAAGGGTACACTTTTTCGAGACAAACATGTTAATATGTTCATAAATGATAAAAAATAATATGAATATTATCGAGCTCGACCAATAAACGGGTCAATCGATCACAGATTTGAACCCTTAAACGAGCTTGAATCCTACATTGAAAAAATTAATCGAGCTTGAGTCGAGTCTAGCTTGACCCTTGTAATGTTTTTCTGGCCAAGCTTAAGTAACCTACCACTCAATATGAACCCATTCACAGTAGATTTCTAGTTTATCACGTAATAAATGATAATCTAGAGAGCATTTGTTGATGTCGTTTAAGGTTTGCTTACCTATGCATTTAGGATGCGTTTGGTAAACAGGCACGACAAAAATTAGATAGAACAAAAACATGTTATCCACGTTTAACGCAGTAATTAGACCGGGACCTGGCTGAGTGAGACAAAAATACCATTTTTTTTGTACCACCAAAATAATTGAAATAGGACAAGATGGATAAATTACTAAATTACCCATATCAAATTAAAACTTCCTACAATTTTTTCACCTGTGTACCTCATTTTCGTCTGTCCCATCCAATCATGTCCGGTCGTTTACGCCTACCAAACACACCCTTACGGTCCTACTTAGACGTAAAGATGAAGTTATGTACACAACAATTTGGACAAGGATTAAATTGAACAAGTCCCTCAATCGTTTAACCAAACACTAAAGAAGAATCACCAAATCCATCTAAGAAATATACTTTCGTAATCATAGAACATGATACACGTTCCGACGATATTCCAGTATAACTTTAAGAAACGAACACGATCCCAGAGTCTTTCCTTATAATTCCTTATAATTTCCAGAAACTCGTAACACGAAATTAACATAAGTGTCTCTTTGTTCCATGTTTACCTTAGTTTGCGGAATTCCATCGACAGTAAGAATGTCCCTAGCCCGATACCATTCTCTAGTGCCCGTATTTCTGGAACTCCCACTCGCTATTATCTGCAGAGAACCGAACACCCAACCGATTATCCATGTTGCAAAGATTGTTACAAACAGAGGATGATAGTTAAAAAAGTAAATTACGATTTTTGTCTCTGTGATTTAGATATTGCAATTTCCATCCATATGGTTTGCAATGTATCATTATTTTCGTCCCTGAACTAATTCCTTACCTTTTACAAGTACAAACGACGAAAATAATAAAGAATTGTAAACCACAGGGACTGAAACAACAATAGATTACAAACCATAGGGACGAAAACCGCACTTTCTAAACCATATGGACAAAAAGCGCAATTCTTAACAAACCACAGGGACAAAAAAGGTAATTTACTCTAGTTAAAAATGCAGTTGTATACCTAGAGGACAAACTTGACGAGTCTTCAGCCAGCGGCTGATGCAGTGGAAATGGAAAGCATGGTTGCAGACACCTGAGAGAACATATAATCCATTAGAGATGATAAGATGAATTATGCACATGACAAGAATGATCGATAATGACCGAAAGATCATTGGCTCAGAAGTATCCGGGTTACTGGTAAATCCTGGACTCCTAAAAGTCATGGGGTTCAAACGTTAGACGTGACCAAAAGTTTTTGGTTGATTTGGTTAATCTCGAGACTTTTTTCGGTTTTTAGTTGATATTTCTTGTAATTTCTAATATCCTGAAGCACCCCTCAAAGTTTATCATGGTGCACCTTTCATACCCCAAAAGAAATCTACTTGTGGAAATTGGTTGAGCAGGTGCATAAGACCCCTCTCAGGCCTTCATAGACCCGTCCCTGTCACCAAATCTTACAACAAATCCATAAAAATTGGTTTAAACAATAAATCTACTCAAACGGGTAAACACCAAATCTCACCCAAAAATGTAAGAATCTCATTATATTCTTTTATCTTTTCTTATTCGTGTAAATGAATAGTGTTATACCAAATTTGGTAGTTAGTATTAATTACACCAAATTTTGTATCACCATTGGAGTGATTTGGTGTAGGATTTTGGGATTTGGCGTCCTCATTGCACATGGTCTTAGAAAATGCAAATATTCCTTTTCATCCATGGTCATGTTCACTTAAATTTCAAGGAATAAAAAAAAAACAAAGATCTAACTGCCCATCTTTAAGTTGCTTACCAATATAACGAACTGGTTACCCTTAATTTGAGCACATAAGGTTCTCAATAGCTCTTTATCAACACCTATAAGCATCTAAAGATGTGCAGTCACAGCATCACATTCATACCATCATATGAAACACCAGCAAGTCACAATAAGAGTCCATATTTCACGCTCAAGATATAACTACTACTTTATCCTTTTCACAAGAATCAGAAATAAAAAGTCATAAACGTATTGTAGCACAGTACTATTTCTATATCAATTAACATTACAAAAAGGCAATTTGTCCTTTGTATAGCCCTATCATTTTTTTATTAACCTGGATATCCAACCCACTATGCGAGCCGACAAATCCCAGGGTGACCACCTGCTTTGCAGGTAGCCCGGAGTCACCGCATTTGAACCTCCGTGGCCACAAGAGGATTTTTAGTCCTCCTTGGATTTGAACATGGAACCTCCGGGCACTTTTGACCTTTGGAGCCCAGGCTCAAACCAATCAGGCACCACCCTTGTGGTTTGTATAGCCCTATCATTTGTGCAACCGATGAGCAAAACTCTGTTTAATGGCATTTAACAGCAATGATTTTGATTTCAAGCAGGATTGCATCCCTATGGTTTTCTGGGCCACCTATGTTGGTATAAAATCATTAACACTTCCTACTAAAGAAGAACCAATGTAGGCTACTCGAGAACATTATAGCATTACATATAGTCTAATGGTCCTTATAGTTACCTACTTATGCGTCCGAGAGAGGCTTGTTCTTCACAGCATGGATTGTTGACAATGGATTTATACATAAGGAGGGTGATGTAGAGGGAGCAATGAACTCTGGACCAAGGATCCTGTGAAAAAACCTGAAAGGGGGAGCAGCAGAGGTATTTAAAAAGAGGGTTGTCCTGGAGGTAGGCAATGTCGTTAGAGTAGTGACCAAGCTTACACTAGAAGTATCGTCAGGGAGAACTAGGGACGAAAATGAATGTTGGTGGTAGAACGAAGACATAGAAGCGAAAGTCAGGGTAAAACAAGCATACGTTATGGAGCTCATCTGTACAGGGAGGATGAGGAAAGAAGTAGGTTGAAGGAATTACACTAGGAAGCAAAACGAGGGGCGAAGAATGTGGTGACTATGGCAAAGGATAAGGCCTATGAGAAGATGTACAAGAGGTTAGACAGCAGAAGATTAGAGATTGGAATATACAGGCAGGCAAAAGCATAAGGTGCATTGAGGATGAGAATGAACGTGTCTTAATTAAGGATGATGTTATTAAGAAGAAATAGGATAATTATTTTTGTGAGTTGTTTAACGAGGCAAAGGGAAGAAAGAGTGAGATAGAGGGAGTATGGGACATCAATGACCATGCAATCTAGGTGTAGGGACAAGGGAAAGGAAGGTTAGAAAGCCGACAGATTAGTCGCCCGAGTCCTACAGTAGATATAGGGATGTGTAGTGTTCCTTACCTTTCCTATGTTTCATAATCATCATACCTACTTTTCTTTTTGCTTACTATGAACTCAACCCCGAGCGCTACTTCCAAGGATATACTATGGGTTCGTTTGATTTGGTTTAGCTTCATGGAAAATATGACTTGTTTAAGTATCATTCTGCCCATGTGAACTCCAATCAACCTTGTCTCACTAAAAAATGAAGTCCAAAGTAAAAGCATGTTACCTAAGACAAAGACAAGCATAAAACCTATTAAACTCACACACAACAAGCCGTTCCAAGAAAACATCTCATCCTAAAGAAGTAACACTAAAAACTAATTATACATCATGCTTCAGAAACCAATGTGTAGTTTTGACACGCATGACACCTTATTATTTGCAAATCCCCTAGAATATTTTCATCTAAGCAGTTGTCGGAATTGCTTGTAGAAGCACTGACTAGGGCTTCAAACAAATATGATGGAGCAAAATGTTTTAGTTCACAAGATACCCGTTAACAAATTCCCAAAGATACGAGCTCATGTAGCCCTACAAAGGTGACAGTACTTATCTTCCAAGTCATCAATCATGAACATATTTATCCACACAGGTTGAGAGAATGATGGAATATTTGAGAATCAATTAGATAACACGTTTCTTTTGTCTGAGAACCACATATAGTTACAACTTATTCTAAAGGCAAAGAACCAGCAAAAAGTGAAGAGATCCTGCAAATTATCCAGAGCATTCCTCCCTTTTTGCAGATATTGGGTAAACAAACACCCGATAGCATAACAATTTTACGACTCCCAAGAGAACTCACAGACATATAACAGTACTATTATTCGTCTAGGAACAAAATTAGGGTTAAGGCCCAACAGCTTACCCCAAGCCACAGTACACTCCTCGCTGGTGGCGCTGGCCTGATTAGCTTGGCACTCGATGCCTGATTGAAACAAAAACCACATAAGACTACATCGAACAATATAAGTGCACCTTATGGTAAAAACAAACACTCACATAGATCCATGATGTGATTTCTACAAATCGCGCAATTGTCAACCACGATATCTGCATCAATTAAAGCACGAAGAACATCAAATTATTGCTGTAATAACAACATACTAAGAACTAGGATTATGAATTTGCAATTTCTCTGACCCCAAGCCCATAGAGAGACGGCGTTCCACTTTTTGATTTCGAAACGCTTCGGTTTCTTTGAAGAAGAAGATGCCACAGGAGAAGATGAAGAAGGTCCGGGAAGACTCGATGCGTCACTGGCGAGAACCATCGTCACGTCGGAATCCATTGACGGTAACCAAAAGTCGCCGGGAAAAACTTGGGTAGGTAATGAGAGATGATCCAACGAGGAAAAAACAGTAATCCCTCTTTCCTGAAAGTGGCTTAAAACCTTTACCCCCATTTATTTACAATAATGGCCCCTGAACTATTTCTCAATTTACAATTTCGATCTTTGATAAACAACTATTGCAGTTTGGCCCCTGACTTGGAAGAAAAGATGTTGATTTCTTTAAAATTTTCTCTGTAATTTATTTTATTTTTTCAGATAATTTCATGGAACCATTTATCCAAAAAAAAAAAAACTGAAATTAAAAAGATTGTAATGTTAATAATTAAAATGTTGCAATTTTGTCTCCTCAAATAAGCGATAATTTTCGTTTTTAAACCATAAGGGTGGTGTCTGAATGATTTGAGTTTACACTTAAAAAGGTAAAAATGTCTGGTCTTTAATGGTTAGATTTACCAACAATAACCACAAGGCTGTTGACTGATTGGTTTAAGTTTGGCCTCCAAATGTCAAATTGTCTGGAAGTCTAAAGTTCAAATCCAATAAAGGATAAAAAATCTCCTTATGGTCACAGAGGTTCAAATGTGGTGACTCCGGGCTACCCACAAAGCAGATGGTCGTCCTGAGATTAGTTGACTCGCATATCGGGTTGGATATTCAGGTTAATTAAAAAAATATTTACCAACAAAATGTCATTAATATATATTTTTTTAATATTCGTAAATAATAAAAAAATTGTAAAGTCAAAAAATGGGTACCATAAATAAATTATAATCAACGACATTAATATATAATTTGAATATTTATTTCAAGATTAAATTATTAGCATTATTTATGAATTTTTAAACGTTTTTTTTTTTTAGAGGAAATAATTATACGTCTGTTTTGGACAACTTTTCAAGATATACCAAAAGGGCATTTTGGTAATTCATTTTCTTTTAAATTTTTGTAACATTAAGGGGCCGTTTACCAAATGCTTATTTGGGTAAGCGTTTACCAAGTTATATTACCTTACCGTATGAATATAGTAAGGACCAAAAATCTTACCCGGTAAGAACGAGGCAAGGACTGAGAGTCTTACCCGGCCGGTAATGAGGGCAATGACTCTTACCACAGTCAGCTCTTACCGGGTAAATTGTCGCATAGAAAACCGTTTTTGTTGACTAAAATCTTATCCAGTAAGTAAATAATAGTATTGAATTTTACTGGTAAGTGTTTACCGGATAAGTGTTTGGTAAACGACCCCTAAGTAATTTTTGTTTTCGAAAATTAAAATCTAGACTTTAAAACGACAAATTAAATGAGCGGTCTTTATAAAAAAAAAATAGGTAAGGATAGATTAAAATATAACTAATGAAAAAGCTTTTGAAAGGGTTTTTGTATTGTAGTAGATTTTAAAAATGTTTTTTTGTTAAAAAAAATATAAGTGGAAAGCTGATGTGACAAAAGTAAAAAGCTGTTGAAAGACTTGCGTATTACGGATGCTATAAGGGTGCATTTGGTACACAGAACTAGACTGTAACAGAACAAAACATAGATCATCGTTTCATATTTGACATGACTTTTATGTGGAATAGACAAAAACAGAGTGAGTATCCACCCCCACCCCGTGGAACAAGCGAGCACAAACTTTTTTTTACCAGTACAGTCTCAAAATAGAACTTAATTATCTTCCAAAACATCAAATACGCCTTCATTTTTACATTTTATTCATTTTAAAAAAATCATTGTATTTACGGTCTTTAAGTTTTCACTTTATTGTCCTCGGAAATATTGTTTTTATACGAGATTTATATATTTTGATTAATTTATATAATTTATTAAATATTAAAAATAAAAATCGAAAACTACATATTTTTTTTATTTTTGTGTTATTCTAACCGTGTTGATGAAAATTTTCTACTGACATGTTTTGTTATATTAAATATTTAAGGGATTTTGGAGGGTTTTAGTTTTTGTTGTTACAGTAAAACCCTCAAAATAGTTCTGATTTGTATAGTGAGTACCTGGTTATCTCATATGATACGTACATGCCATGTTGGTGAATAAAGTCGTAAGTTATCTGGATGTCGTATGTTGTGACGGATGTTTGCATTTATGGGCAGTGAAGGACACTGGTTTCGATTGTGACAATTGTGGAATCATCGATACAGAAAGAACGGTGAATATGAAGAGATGTTTAATGATATTATCGATCAAACTGAAATACGTGTAAAACTTGATTGCTATTTAATGATGTTGGTCACATCGTTAATGCGTAGATGACCAAATCATATACCACAAGTTAAACGATCGGTTACAAAATTCCTATAATATTTAAACATATAGGAAATACATACGAGAGGGAAAGTCAGATATTGTGAGAAATGAAGGTTTATTTGTGAATAATTGAAAAAATCTATTTGAAGATACATATCGCATTACATAGTATTCATATATATTCACATATGAATATTCAAAGCGAATTTCGATAATTCACTTATAAACCTTTTGTTAATATCCAAATCGTTTTTTCAGTCATTCAGATACAAACTTTCCGTTAACTTTCTAATACTTTTATGATATTTAATTTTTTTTTTTTTATTAAAACCCTTTGTGATATTTTTTTAAAAACTTAAATTTATGTCCCGTAAATTTACAAAGGAGTCGTTTATCAAACATTTACCCAGTGAATGCTTACCGGTAAAATTTAACACTACCCCTTACTTATCGGGTAAGACTTTATTCCACCAAAACGTCATTGTATGCAATAATTTACTCAGCAAGTGATTACTCTGGTAAGAGTTGTCGCACTCACTTGTCGGGTAAAACTCTTGAATGTTGTCTCACTTTTACCGGGTAAGATTGTTGATCCTTATCATATCCATCCGATAAAATAACGTGACTTGATAAACACTTATCTAAATAAACATTTCGTGAACCGTCACAAAATTATATGAGGTTTAAATCAAATTCCATTGAACGATTGATGTAATGGGAGTGGAAATAAATTCAGAAATATATCGGTTTTGATAAAAGATGACGTGGTGGAACCATGGGAACCAGAGGTATTTGGGCCCACAACTAACTGGTCCCCATGTGGCCGGTTCGTTATAAAATTAAGAAGTAAACATCAATTTTGCACCCCAACCTTTGTAATTTTTGTAAAATACAGCCCCTAAACCTTACAAACTCGAATTTTCAACTGTTTTGGTTTCTTTGTCTGACGGTTGTTAACCTTTTTCTGTCAAAGGGTTGTGTGACAGTTGCTGATTGGTTTGGTGCAGAATGATTAAATGGTCAGAATGATTAAGAGACTATCATGATACAGTGCAAATGAAATATAATTATTTACAACAAAATTATGGTGTTGAATGGTTAAGAGAGGTCCATGATACAAAATCATTCAGATGGTTTTAGAACCATTAAGAGACATACTTTTTTTATCAAACAAGATTCACCTCTTAACGATTCAGATGTTGCCTGTTAATGGAACTATTAATAGGTAAACAAACAACCCTTAAATTTAGTTACATGAGGGGCATTTTAGTTATTTTTATTGATATCATATTAGAATTAAAAAATATATTGTATTTTTAATTTTAATTCTTTTTTTCTGTTTAAGATATGATTGGTTTAGGTTGGAAAATGAAAACAAAAATGTCAGAAAATAAAAACGGGAATGACTTTTCATTCCCCGAGTCTAATTTAAAATGAAATAGTCTCTTTTATTATCATTACTGTTGATTACTGCTTAAAGCCTTTAATCAAACATTTCCTTAAAAAATATGATTTAAATAAAAAATACATTACGTTTTTATTATTTTAATATAATAAAAATAATGAAAATGACTAAAATACTCTTCATTTAATTGGAAGTAACATATAAAGTTAACAGTCGTTAGATAAATGGACCAAAACTGCTTAGAATGAACAAACATGAAGGACCAAAAACCGAATTTTTGAAATTTAGAGATAATATTCATCAAAAATTACAAACATTAGGGACCAAAATTAAACTTTACTCTAAATTTAAGCAACCAAAATTTCAGATCACAGAGAAATGGACGATCGATAATCGTGCGTGATTCCTCAGAAATCCTCGCCGGCCACCGGAATCTCATCATCATCATCATGACTTCAATCGTCAACATCACAACCTTCAACGAAGTCAACATCGCCGAAATGGATCAGAAACAGGCAATTTACCGGTGCACAATCCGCCGCAGAATATGGCCGTTACGGCGGAAGAAGAAGAAGCTGCCGACGGTGAGACTCGGCGGAAAACGGCAGTTACTGGTAAGAATGCTTAAACGGATTCGAATCAGATGGCTGAAGTTGAAGAAGGCATGTACCTTGAAGAAACTGAAAGAATACTACTCATCTGTTCTGAAGGACGTAATTGAAGCCGGTGGAACCTTCGAGACGTTTCAACAGAGGCTTCTTCTAGAAACTTCTTTCGCCGTCCCTGTTATGGGCCTTTCCTTCAATACTTTCCATTGATGCAGATTCATCGATCGCCATGGCCGGATTTGGGATTTCTCGCCGGAGATCTTACAAATTTTCAATGTCCACAAGAAGTTTTGGCGGATTGCGTGCATTAATTTTCCACTTCTTCCCCTCAAAAGAAAGTGAATTAATTACATGGTAATTATGGAATTAAATGTGTTCATATTTTTATATTTCTATTTTTTTGGGATGTGTTTTTAATTAGGAATTCACAACAAAAACAAAAACAAAAATAAAAACAAAATGTATTTAGGGGCCGCTTACCCTATTATTATCTGGTAAGTGTTTACTGGTAAAATTCAGTACTTTTATTTCCTTGTTGGATAACGTTTTCGTTAATCATTGATAAGCATCTTTTATCTGATATTGGTATCGCTTACTGGGTAAGAGTCTTATATTTCACCTTATATGTTTATATGTCCTTCATATGCCTCTTACTGTGTAAGAAGCTTACTTGGTAAAGGCGATTACAGATAATAGTCATAACTCTCAAAACTTACCTTATCGTGTAATATTCTCGTTCATCAAAAATGGATTGTAGATATACGTCTTTTACCCAGTAAGTGTTAATCGACCATGAGTCTTCTCTCACACTTACATGTAAGATTCTCGATACTTGCTATACCTCTTACCGAATAAGAAGTTGACCTGATAAAAGCGCTTATTGACAAGAGTCATTACCATCACTTACTTTATTGTGTAACATTCTCGACCACTAAAATAGATTATTAGTAAGCGTCTTTTAACCGGTAAACCCTTATCTGGTAAGAGTCTTCTCATACACTTACTGGTAAGATTATGTCTTTGGGGTTATTTGGTGGTTGTTGAATGGTTTGGTGCAGAATAATTAAGAGACTTTCATGATATAGTGCAAAAGGAAATATGATTGTTTGGTAATTGTTTGCAATGAAATTATGGCGCTGAATGTTTAAGGGAGACCTATAATGCAAAATCATTCAGAGAATTTTAGAATTATTAAGAGGCAGACTTTTTTTTGCCAAACAAGATTCACCTCTTAACGATTCAGATGTTGCCTCTTCATATAACTATTAATAAGTAACCAAACAATCCATTTGTTATGTTTCTTACTAGTAATATTTTCAGTCATTATCATACTTACCCAGTAAGATACATAACATATGATAAGTATTTATCTGGTAAACGTTTAATAAACAATTCATAAATGACTGGCTTATTAATGTCATAATAATATGATTTATAACACATTCAGATATATTAATAAATAATATTTTTTTATATAAGATATGGAAATCTTTTATTCTGTATTTTTAATTTTTAATTATTTGAAAATTGTAATATTTTTCTTGTATTCTGGAATTAAAAAATAAAAAATTAAACCCATATAATTGTCATGTGCCATTTGTCTGGCGAAACCATTAACGTGCGCATAAATCCATCAGATACGTCGTCGTATCATCACCTTCGAGTGGGTTAATATTAATTATTCTTTATGAATTAATTAATAATTATTATATATATATTGAAGAAGATTACAAGAGATTGTGTAATATAATTTTAATTCAATAAATATTTAATGAATTTTTTTAAATAAATAATAAGATGTTGAAATTAGTTACTAAAATCATGTTTGACTTTGGTTTTTTTATGATGAAGATATAAATCAAATACAATAAGACAAATTACATGAGAAAGTAACGTACTTTAGTTTGATTAATATTTTAGGTAACGTACTTTCAGAACTTTCACTTTGGTATCTAAAATGTAAAATTTTAAACATTTAAGTATCTAGGTAACGGATTGAAGACTAATCTATGTTATATTATAAAGCATTTGACAAAAACTCTTAAAAACCATTTTTTACGCATAAAGTACTGTATATTGATGCATATTACTTAAAACTCAATATTACAAGTAAATTACGCATTAAGTACAACTTATTAAAGCTCAATGTTTGAATTCGTGTAACTAATTACGGATAAACATAATCAAATAGAGGATAAACATCTCATTATATAAAATATAATTAAGATAATTATCGAGTTTCTAATCGAATGTTTAATTATTATCTTTAATAAAAATTATATTATTAAACAAAAAATAAATTACTTTGTTATTATACATAAATTAAGTTATAATAAAAAATTGAATTAAAGAAGTTACACCAAAAAAACGAAAAATATTAAATAGTTAATTTAATACTAATATCGATTTTTTTATAATTTTTTATGTTATTCTCAAATTTATATTTAATTCAAAAATACAAACATTATCGCTTTCTCAAAACCACATAAAATTATATTACATCGATATAGACAAATAATAAAAATTAAACATTAAAATAGAGATTTATCTCGTTGCATTGCGCGAGTACCCTTCTAGTATTAATTAAAAGAAGACTAATTTTAGATTCAAAAAAAATTATGTCACTAACTACATGTGCAAATAATACTGAGTTGAAAATTACTCGTCACATCAGCATGATAACCGGTTAAGGCTTCAATAGATTACCCGAGTACTTATATGTTTAAAACTTTACATCTTAGGTACCAAAATGAAAGTTTTGAAAATATATTATCCAAAATAGGAATTAAGTTAAAATACGTTATTTTTTCATGCAATTTATTCAATACAATAAAGCTAATACAATTTTTTTTATAAGATACTGAAAAACCTAGTAAACGAATCACATAGCAAACAAAACAGATAGACAACAAAGTTGGTTCGAAGCTCGCATTCAAATGCAACGTAATGAGCCACGAAGACACAGATCTCATCGAGAATCCAATATCCGCTCGTAGTTTTTGTTTTCAGTTTACTAAAAGAGTCGTTTATTGGATTATAAACTAACTTATAACTACACCTACAACGGGTTTTTTAAAATGGAGGAAATCGAGACTTTCGACAAATTTTTGCTCGAAAAAATCCTGCAAAACTTTCTCCTGAATGAATAAAACTCGAGAGAGCGTGAAATTCTCCGAATTTTGATGACACTTTAAAAATGATTAAAAAGGTCATTTGAAATAATTTTTCAAAATGGTCGGACAGTTTTTTGTAGCTATGTCCTTGTACTTTATAATGGGTAAATTTTAAATATGTTATTTTTTTATTAACCTGGATATCCAACCCGCTATGCGAGCTGACTAATCTCAGGACGACCACCTACTTTGCAGATAGCTCGGAGTCACCGCATTTGAATCTTTGTGGCTACAAGGGGGTTTTTATTACTGTCATAAAGTTTATAAAATATTTTTTTTGTTAGAGTAAATTACGTTTATATCCCTGTGGTTTGTTAAAAATTTTGGATTTTGTTATTGTGATTTTAAAATTTTGGTTTTTATCTATATTGTTTGCAATTTATTTCTATTTTCGTCATTGAGGACAAAAACATTACTTTTAAGTATAAAGAACTAATTATAACTCTAATCATATTCTGTAACTATTTATATTATAATAAATAAACTTTCATCATTTCCATAAATATTTTATTTAATTGGTTTGTGTGGCTTGGACTGTTTGGCAATTGTTGAATGGTTTGGTGCAGAATGATTAAGTGGTCAGAATGATTAAGAGGCTCTAATGATATAGTGCAAAATGAAATATAATTGTTTGGTAATTGTATACAATGAAATAAGGGCTCTTAATGGTTAAGGAAGATCTAGGATACAAAATCATTCAGATGGTGTTAGAACCATTAAGAGGGAGATTTTTTTTTTTGCCAAACAAGATTCACCTCTTAACGATTCAGATGTTGCATCTTAGTGGAACTATTAAGAGGTAAACAAACAACCCCCTTAGATGATTTATATTTGAACCTTGTTCATTATATATATACACATATGTGGGATCATGTGAGACAAAGTTGTTTTTGTGAAACATGTGAGACAACATTTTTACACTTGAAACTTCACAGCAAAATATTGTGAAGGTAACATTCACATAGTTTTTGTTGTGAAGGTTCATATTTCTTTTACCTTTACAACACTATGTTGTGAAGTTTCAAGTGTAAAAATTTCGTCTCATGTGTCTCATGAAAACATGTTGGTCTCACGTGAACCAAGCCCTACATATATATATATATATAGGAGCGATCAAATGATAATCACCCTCATTTGTAAAAACCGTAGAAACCACCCTCATACGTCTATTTCATTGTTTAATCTTGTGAAATTTTTCATATAATACTTTTTTGATGAATTTGTTTCATATATGGTTATGAAATTGTTTCATATAATACTTTTTTGATGAATTTGTTTCATATATGGTTATGAAATTGTTTCATATAATATTTAATGAAATTTTAATGAAACAATTTCATGTATTTCTCTAAAATTAAAATAATGAAGATGATAATATTCATGATTAACACCTTCCACAATAAAAATAGTTAATCAACCTCTCATAATTACAAAAAAAATGAACAAAATAGAAAATTATGATTGGTTGAATGAGTTTTTCATGGTTTTTACAAATTAAATGGTTTTTATTTGAACTCTCCCCTATATATATATATATATATATATATATATATATAGAGTATATTTCAAATGCAACCATATTCATTTTTACAACCAATACAACCCAATTAATTAAGATATTTATAGAAAAAATGAGAGTTTATTTATTATAATTTAAATATTTATGAAAGATGAATAAAGTTCATTAATTATGATCAATATTTTATATTAGGAAACAATCAAAACTTTTATGAAATTACATGTTCATCAAATTAAATGRACGRTTGAGATMGAGTTRTATTGGTTGTACAAATGTAAGGGGTTGTATAATAACCTACCTATATATATATATATATATATATATATATATATATATATAAAGAGAGAGAGAGAGAGACATATGGAGACATATGTGTTAGGTATTTTAAGCCGGAATTATCAAAAAGTACAATCGAAGATGTTTAACGTATAGTTTGGGCTTTATATTCGGTTGCAAAAGTTATTTGGAAGCAAATGTGAGCCTTTTTTTTTTCTTCATATGATGACGATGTTTTACGTACGTTGAAAATGATATTCACCATTCATAATTATATATATATATATTCAAATGAAAGCTATGTTTAGACTTCTAACTATTATTCCACGTAGCTGGAACTGGAAGGACGGTTGTTACAACTTCAAATTTTTATTAAACAATTAATCACGTTAATCAATACTATAATGGTACTTGCATAATGCAGCGAGATACATCTCGATTTTAATGTTTTGTTTTTTTTTATCTTAGTTGTTATTATAATACGGTTTTATGTGGTTTTGAAAAAACGATAATGTTTTTATTTTTGAATAAAACATAAATATGAAGGTATTATAAAAAAATGAAAAAATATATAATGATATTGGTATCAAATT